CTAAAATGTTGTAGGAGGATTGACCAATATTGGGAAAATGCAGCTTTACATAGTTTAAACGGCACATGAGTCTTGCTGAAAGTAATTTTGTTAAAAATAATACATTATTCAATTTTCTTTTTATGTTTTTTCCAAATAAATCAAAGAATATTCCTGCTGTTTTGCATGGGAACATGGGTGTGGTAGAAAGATTCCAGGATAATAAGGATAAAAAGAGAACAACTGAAGGCATAACAGATCCTTTGAGTGATAATGTGACAGTTATTTGGGGTCATCGCAGTTGGGAACCGATGATTTGGCTCCAAGATGTGAAGAAATAAGTGTTGAGACAGCAGTAGCAACACATTGTGATGAAAAATGTAGAATCCACCCAAGAGGGGAGACAGAAACGGAGTGAGAGCAGCACAGAGAGCAGAGTTATACCAAAGCAAACCATCACACCGCTTGTGCGTGGTGAACATTTCGGCGCTTCTAAAACAAAAAGGATCAAATAAAAAAATAAAAATCCCGGATCTGGGCTGACAGGAGGAAACTGGAGAAAGAGGCGAACCGGATCGACGCTTTAAAAAGCCGCCTGCTGCAGCTGATTCTTTAATTATTATTTTTGGATAAAGGGGGGGAGGCCAGTTTGCCGGTATTTTTATCTCTCCTCCCGCTTCAAAGCCGCCGGTATGAACAACTTGATGCGCTGAAGGTAACGCCGCTGAATTTTCTTTTTCCATTTCCTTCTCTTGCATCAATTTGATGCTGCGTGAAGCGATGATGCTGCTGATGCTGCTGCTGCATCGGTGGGCTTTGAATGTGTGAATCCTGCACGGGACTCTCCTCCTTGGCAATGGAAATCAGAGCCACCTCTTTATTTCTCTGCAATAATTACTGTGACAATAATAAATATGGCTTATTTTGGTGCCTGGGGTGAGGGTGCCAGTGGCTGTGATTTTGTATCTCCTGCTGCTGCAGCTCCTCAGCTCCAGACAGACTCAAGTAGCCTCAGCTGAAGAGGGGAAAAAACATAAAACAGCAAGCTGGCAAGTGCTGTATCACCCAACGCAAGCCAAAGGAGCTGCTGCATGTATGAGGGAAAGGGCATCCATCACACCAAGGAGCAGGGGCTTCCCAAGAACCGCCACATCCACACATTCGTCTGAGGACTGCTGAGAGCTTACAGCCCCCTCCTGATGGTTGTTGGAGGGCAGCCCTGATGCATCTTGTGCATGTGAAAACTCTCATTTTGCCATCGCTGTATCAACAGAAAGCAGACGGTGACTCTGTGTGTGTCATGTTAGAGGCTGGACTCTTGCCTGCTCACACCAGCTCTCTGCCAATATCTCTGACCTGCCCTGTCTGAGCCCTTTGTATGAGCATCTCCACCAGTGGTTTGTAGACATTACCTGTTGTCTAAGGATCAAACAACAACAACAACAAAACAGACTCCTCACATTTCTGTCAGCGTAGGACAGAGCAGAGGTCAAGATGCAGGTCTCCTTCGCATGCACTGAGCACAACCTGAAGAGCCGCAGTGAGGACCGTCTCTGTGGCCTCCGCACCGCCCCACCTCCAGGAGGAAGCAGTGGTGGAGGTGGTGGTGGAGGTGGTGGTGGCGGTGGTGGATCAGGAGGGGGCAGTGGTGGAGGAGGAGGTGGTGGTGGACAGGGGGGTAACGGTAACTACTCCTCTCAAGGGTCTGTGAAGAACAGGGAGGGCTCCGGGTCCCGCCAGACTCCACAGGGCCATGCCCACATGAAGGAGGCCATCGGGCGCCACAGCAACATGAAGTACAGGTGAGGATTGGGGACGTGTGCTTCAGGGGTGAAGGCTTGGCTCACATCAACAGGGTATCCCTTCAACCATTACAGAGGGACTGATTAGAGATTTGCTTTGACTTACTAATACACTGATTCCAATTTCTCTCAGAGAACTTGCCTTTCTAGCCCTCCTGCTGTGAGCAGTCATTAATTTTTGTTACTACTGGGAAAGGTGAAGCTACACCTTACCACTTTGTGTGTGGAAAGCATAGTGTGAGTCCATCCTTTTGGCACCTCCCCTGCTGCTTTAAACACAACAGAACTTACTGACTCACTGGAGGATGCCCTGCAAAAACTAAAATGGTTTTACCACATCTAACTTTTCATCAACACTAAATAAATTGCTAAATAAAAGCAGCTCAGGTGTTTTACTTCCTAAAAAGAATCATCAACATGCAGCCATTTTAACTTTCATCAAAAGTCTAATTTTTTCCAACATTTCATCATAAATAGCCCACCTGCAACACAGTAAACCTCACCTTGCTATGCCTAAACTCTGCATTACTCTATACTTACAGAGGACAGGCTGTATGGTAATAGAGTCAGATTTTGTTGGATGCTTGAGCAACAACTTACAATCCTTGATGGTAAGTTCAGAGCCGGCTCAAGCTTTAATGTGGCCCTAAGGGAAATAAAATTTTGTGGCCCTCTATTTCTGCTGTCTGATGATCAGATCAATAACATACCCACTATAGACTCATTACAGATCTGGTATGGGCATTTATAGTCTTCTATTTCTATGAACCTTGTATTGTTGCTAAAAGAAATACAATAAACTAGTTTATTCACTGTAAAAGGGTCACATGATTTATTATTTTTGGGTGTAACTGAAACAGCAACGTGCAGAAATAACCTGTAGTGCAAAAATAGTTTTCATACATGAAAATAACAAATTTAATTATACAAAAACAAACTTTATTAAATAATAGATACTTATATCTATTTTTTCTATCTGATAAAGCCTCCTATAAAAATGAGTGTGACATTCTGGCACCGTAAGCTTAATTAGCATGGCTTATTTTATTCCAAAAAACACGATCTTCGTGTAAAATCCACCTATTTTGATATGTTCAGATTTTCTTTATGTGCAATTAAATAATTATTAACAGTTATTATGTTTTAGCATCAAATATTTATTTTTAGATTCATCTTTACTTCCACTGATGTCATCTTCAAAGACCTCCCTGATACCGATAGCTAAGTTTGGCCCCTTCTTCCCTCTGTAACAGCTTCCTCTTAAAAGGACCACTAAACGTTGTTATCAGCAGTTAGCCGAGGTCACTAATGCTGATAGTAAGTGGAGAGGCTCCACTTTAACTGATGGCTAGTCAAGGCATTTCAACCAAAGCAATTTAAAATGTTCACAGTGAGATAACATACCTTTCAATAGAGAGGGCTGGGAAGTTTACACTGTTGTTCTCAGCCGAACTATGTCTGCGTTGTAACTCATCTGTCTTTGCTTTGTTTGCCTTTTTTTCTACCATTATCTGTCAATATTTTCAATAGAAGAACAAGACACCAAGGTGAAGGGAAAATCTTGAGAAGACCAATTTTAAAAATCTATCCGTCTCCTTGTAGAGAAGCTGGTGCCAACCAGTATCTACTGGGTGATTCATGGGCAAAACCCTGGACATGTTGCTATTCCATCACAACACTAGATTGTGGGAGAAAGTACACAGAGATAAACTTTGCATGTGCAAGAAAAAAAAGGAAAGTTGCAAACAGAAAGAGCCCATAGGCTCAGATTTGAACCTAATATCTTGTGGTTGCAAAGCCATAGTAACAACAACCCTGCCACCATGCAACCCAGCCATAGATCATTTTTAAACAGTCCTTATGCTCCACTTTCAAACTGACCCAGTTGCCTATTTTGAGAGTGGTTGTCATTTCCGAAACGAAATAAAAAAAATGGCATCTTCTTCCACTTTTTCTCAGGCAGACTAATCAATCCAGGAAGCCTCCGTCATTCGTTTCTTAAATTCGCAAACAGGGACATCGATTGGCTGAAAGGATAGTGGATACCTACTGTAATGGTCTCTTGCAAGACTTGGCCTCTTAGCCAGGTCTCCCTCGAAAAAGAGATTTCAACTCAAGGGACTTCCTGGTAAAATAAAGGTTAAATAAATAAATAAAATAAAGACTTTAGACAGTTAATTTCCCCTAATTTTGCATTGTTTCCTACCAATCTGGACATGCTTGATAATTCAAGCTGCTGGCGTAATTTTTATGCTTTTCAACAAAATCACATCTTTTTATTATAGTTCAGCTAATTGCTACTGATAGTAAGAGAATTCAAAAATTCAACTTATCCCTTTAGTTTCATAAACCAAAGGGGTGCCTAACAAGAAAAGTGTGGAAACCCCTTCCTTAAGCTTTAAAAGATCCCCAGATTATTCAATTGCATATAACAAGATTTGTGCAATTTAATGCATTCATGTTGCATTCAAGTATGTCCCGTATTGTCTTGTGAATACCAGCCTAATTTAGCACAACAAAGGATGATAGAGTGACACTAACTCTGGCTTTCTTAAACAGCAATCTGCACACATATGGAATAATTCGTGACAACTTCTCTTCAAATTATAATAATTTATTCAGGGAAATAAAATACAACTCCAAGATAAACATATTCCAGTGGACAACCCTTTACCTAAGCTAGTGAAATGACTACTAAAACAAAAGATATGATTATAGAACACTGTGTATAAAAAGACAACCTGAAATGTATTTATGCAATGATATCAAAGGTCAGTTTCAATTTCTATGTCTGACTTGAGAAATTTGAAATATTGTTCAAAGTAGCTTTAAAATATTTCAGGATAACAATAAATAAGTTTTCTACTTCACAATGCAAATACAATATTTATCAAATAATATTGAATAATAACATTTTAGAGATTTGACTCTTAATAGTGTGTTGAATAGCTCTATGAAAGATCAAACTGTGTGATGAGGTCATAAAGTGGTGAAGAGAAGCTGCTTGAAAACGCTAGTGATGTAGAGATCGACAGAGGAACGTGCGATACCATACTACTGAGCTACCATTAAAGTTTAAAAGATACAATTTACCATTATTAATATTGCTATTGATAATAATGGCACATTCTATTGCCCCAGGTAGTTAATGAGCTGGTTTTGAGCAGTTTAGTTTAATGAAAACACAAAATAATATCATATCTGTTTTTTAACCCTCATTAAAATAAAGTGTATCACAACTTTTTAAATACATAAAAAAAAATGCAAAATGGTTAGCAGCACGAACCATTGAATAAATGACTCAGTTAACACGCCCTTGTCTGATAGGCATGGAGCTGCAGCTGGGCTTGGACTGGCTGATTGGTGGTCGTGGCTTTGCTCTAGTTTTTGGAAGCATCTGCATGAATTGCAGACAGACAGGCAGCAGGGCTGCAGTTCCCACACTGACCTCTGCACTGGCACATTTGTGGAAGAAGTAACGTGTTTCACACACTGTTCACACATCCTGCCTTTGCTTGGCTCTACTTCTTTTCCACTGTAGAAAGAAAGATTACAGAAAGTATGTCTGTGGTTGGCTGCTTTGGTCATTGGCTATACTAAAAACAGACCAAGGGCTGCCTAACTTTGAAATCCAAATTGGAAAAGATTCTCTGACTTACCATCAAGTTGTAATTGGACAGTTTGTAGGTTAACTGACATGAAACCTGATATTTGACTTATTGAATATTTCAACAAAGTTAAATAATAATTTACTTCACCATAGAAGGCCATTGTTACTCTCTACCCATATGCATTTGGAATGCATTTGAATGAGGAAGGAATAAATAAATAAAAACAGCCCTGATTTTTTTTAGGGCGTAGTTCAATTGAAGATGAACATGGTATATTTTCAGGAACAGCTTTAAAAAAAGTTGCGTCAACACAAACGTACACAGCATCAGTGGAGACGTAGCAGTATATATGCTACCCTGTTTGGTGGCACTGCCACAGAATTACACCCAAGGCACTGACAAAAACACTGGGCATGCACAGATAGCTCATCTGAGGTAAGCGCTGCAACATAAAGTGTTGTATGCGGCTACAGATAGAGGAAGAGCTACAAGGTTTCATTGTGGTCATGTAAGCTGCATGAAACTGACGTTCTTTGATTTTACCACTTTGGGATCCTCTTTCAAAAATGATGGTTTATGCTCTCCCAAAATGTTGGCTTCATTTGTATAAACAGCTTGAACTGTGTTTGCCGTTTCACTTAATCTGGTCTCCATTTGGATAGATCCTAAAGTAACCACAATAAGCTAGTTTTGGGTGTTGCTTCCAAAAAAGGCTGCTTAAAGCTTTATAAAGTTCTGTTAAAAGATAGTAATGGCCAAATATCTCAACTAGAATGCAATGCAAAAAGAATGCTACTTAAGTGACACCCCCAAACACCAGACATCATTCAGACGTTAATTTTTAGGCTAAATATGGTCCTAAATCCATCTGAGATTTGATTCAGTCCAGAAACAATTGTTGAAAGTTGGGTTCTCTTAGGTCGGTCGGATTTAATCCCACTTTAGTCCAATAATAGACATTGAAAAGATGTTGAAAAGTCAACATCTTTTAAACAAGCTGAAAATAACGGCTTTTTACTTTTCAACCAAATGTAGACGTTTGGACGTGAATCATATAAAACTGTAACTGGAGCGTGTAACAAAAGTAATTTCCCTCTGGGATTATTAAAATATTTCTGATTCTGATGACGTCTTTTCTTTATGCTCGGTGGGAATTCTTCAAGAAAATATTGAGAATACATTCTAAATTAGGATTTAAATATAGATATAAAAAATACCTAGAATAAAGGTAATTTAAATGTAGGAACCAGGACAAAACAGTCCAAGTAAATCTAACAAGACTTTTTGTAGACCGGATCCAAACAAAAAAAACACAGGCATTTGGTGAGTTCAAGCTTTCTATGACAATAACACTCAATTTCCCAGTCGGGTCTTGTTATTTACCATTTC